GAGTTCAGGACGCGAACCTCGGTCAACTACGTGGGAGTCTAGTGACATAGCCATTAGGTTAACTGCTGGTTCCCATATGGCCTTTTTTTTTTGGAGAGATTTTTGCTATAGGGCACGTGCGCTTGCCAGACAGAGAGAAACAGAAAGCGAGAAATCACCCCCCAGGGTGGATGGCCACACTGCAGTCCCTTCTCCTCCACTCTCCTCTCGGAATCTTGGGCACACATGTACACGCGTCCAGCTTAAGTTTTAAGCCAACGGGTCTGGGGCGTGAATCGTGGTCGACTACATGGGAGTCCAGTGACATAGCCATTACACTAACTGCTGGTCCCTTCCACGGCCTTCTTAAACAGTCTCTTTAAAAATCTTCTACAGCAGAGGGCCGGCAGGTGGTGTGGTTCAGGCACTGGACTTCCACATGGCTGACCATGGTTCGAGTCCCAGACCTGGCAGTTTGCTTTCTCTCTCTCTTTCTCTCTTTGTATTTCTCTGTCTCTCTCTCATCAAATTGAAGAAGAATAATAAATAAAATTTTAAGAATAAATAAATAAAATAAAATAAATAAAAATAAAAATCTTTCATGGGATAGAGACAGTTTCCCCAGCTGGGGGTCTCCAGGTGCAAACCGGAACCTTCCCACGTCGATCAGCCTCACATTTTATCATTGTGCCACTGTTTATCCCCTCTATGGATTTTTTAGATTTTTTTTTCCCCATAGGGATTATGTGCTCACTGGAGGGAGAGAGAGGGAAAGTGAGAAAACACCCCCAGGGGTGTGTGTGGCCATGGCACAATCCCTTCTTGGGATTTGAGGCATACACACACAAGCACCCAGCATATTTTTCTGACTGCCCAGTCCAAGACTCAAATGGTGGAGTTGACAGTGTGGGATCCAGCGCCTTAACCATCACACCACCTGCTGGCCCGTCCATGAACTTCTTGAAGAGCCCTCGTGCATCAGGGAAAGTTCTGTCTGGCACTTGATCTGCATTCCCGTGTTTCTGTTATCTGTTTACATGCACACCCACTCAAAACTTCAGTGGTTTAAAGTAGCAACAGTTGGAACCAGCCGATGGTGTAATGGCTGCATCACTCGACTCCCATGTAGTGGACCACGGTTCAAGTCCCCGACCTGGTGGCTTAAACTCAAACTGGGTGTGTGTGCATGCGTGCCCAAGATCCCAAGAGGAGAAGAGACTGTGGCATGGGCACCCTGGGGGGTGGTTTCTCTCTCTGTGTCTCTCTGTCTCTCTGTCTTTCTGGCACACGCATGTACCCTGTAGCAAAACCGTCTGCAAATAAAAAAAGGAGCAACAGTTGCTGCTGCCTCCTTCTGTGGGTGGGTCGGGCTCAGCTGGCTGGTTCTGCAGCTGGCTGTCTGGTGTCACTCCTGCAGCTGTACTGAGCCGGGAGCTCAGCAGGCCGGGTGCACAGCGGGCGTCATTCACACGTGTGGCAGTTGGTGACAGCTAGGGCACCTCTGTTCTCTTGGTGGTCTCTCTTTCTTCATGAGGCTTGTTTGGAGAGCTTCAAACCATGTCTAGGGTTCCAGGGCAAAAGCAGAAGCTGCCAGGCCACTCCTGGCTCAGGCACAGAGGTAGTAGAGTGGCACTTCTGGGTTCTGTTGGTCCGGCAAGTCCGGGTTCAAGGAGAGGAGAAACAGATTTCACCTTTTTTTTTTTTCTTTGCCAGGGTGGGGCGTGGCCATGCCACAGTGCCTCTCCATTCCTCCACCATGGTGGGATTTGGGGGTGCACATACCTATGCCTGGTGTGTTATTCAGACTGTGGTCAGCCACGTGATCCAGCTCCTCCCACTAGGCCACAGGCCCACCCTAGACTTGGCCTCTTGGTGGGAGGAGCGGCCCCTTTGCTGAGTGACTTGTAGGATGAGAGTCATGCTGGGGCAGAGCAGGGTCAGGGCCCTGATCGCTCCGCAGGCCTGCTCAGACCCTCTTGGCCCAAGGGCGGCTCTCCGGAGCATGCCACTGCTGCTCCCTCTTGCTGGTTTCTGCGTACGTTGGGTGGCCCTGTTTTTCTGCCCTGTTTCCTGATGGCTGTCCAACCACCACAGCCTACAGAGTTGGCTTTTTAAATGCCTTGCCATTCCTGGGGCCAGCAGGTGGCATGGTGGTTAAGGACCCTGGACTCGCACATCGCTGACCACAGTTTGAGTCCCAGACCTGGTGGCTTGCTTTCTCACTTGCTCTCTCTCTCCCTCTTTCATCAAATTAAAATAAATAAAGTTTTTAAAAAATGCCTTGCCGTTCCTTCGTCCACTTCCTGAGCACGCGAAGTGCATGTGCCACTCGTGCCATCTCTCTCGCTCCCCCTCCCGCTCTCCACTGTCCTCAGAGCATCTCTTGGTGTCCTTGGGAAGGTCAGCGTTCCCACTGACGACTGCCCTCGACCCGCCTGGGAGCTCTCAGCCTCCAGCTCACGTTGCCATTCACGGGTGCAGCTCTCACTGGCGCTTCGTCCAGCCTGCACTTCCAGCTCAGGAGCACCCCTGTGAGCCCCAGAGTACTGACTTTATTAGGTAGGGACAGAATCGCCAGCTTTCAGATGGTGAGCAGTAGAGTGAAAGTACCTAGATATAAAGGGGAGCGCACCCAGACGCGGTAGCGTGAACCATGGCCGTACGGTCGTGCACCCCTCTTCACTGCATGCACAGAGCTGTGGCACGAATGTTCGCAACTCGGGGTGCAGTAGCCAAACGTCCCTCGGCTCGTAATAGACAGGCAAAATGTGGTGTGTCCGCGTCGTGTTCAGCTGAGAAAGGGAATGAAATACTGACTCATGCTGTGACGTGCTGGACGCTGGAAGCGCTATGCACGAAGAACCAGTCACCAAGGCCACAGAGAGTTGTTTGTGTTTTTCCCCACTGTTGTCAGAGTGTGGGTGTGCTTGCCAGAGACGGAGAGAAGGCGAGAGGGTGGGGAGGTCGCGCCACAGTCCTTTCTCCGTTTCTCCACCCTACTGGGACTCAGGGCATGCGTGCACACCTGGCTGGCATGTTTCTCGAGCCACCAGGGCCAGGACGCAGTTTGTTTTTTGTTTTTGTTTTTTGGGTTTTTTTGTTTGTTTGTTTGTTTTTTAAGAATGATTTATTTAACTTTTTTTTAACAATAGAATGAATAAATTTATCTTTTACATTTGAAGGCTGATGAAAAACCATTTGTTAATCCTATAAAAGAAAATCCAGTATTTCAATCAAAAAGAATAATTAACTATATAGTTATTCATTAAATACCATTTATATTTTCTAAAGCACAATTTGAAAACATTCAGCATGGGAGGGGCCAGCAGGTGGTGGTGGTTAAGGGTTTTGGACTCCCACATGGCTGACCACAGTTTGAGTCCCAGACCTGGCAGCTTGCTTTCTCACTTTCCCTCTCTCTCTCTCTCTCTCTCTCTCTCTCTCTCTCACTCTGCCTGTCTCTGGTTAAAATAAATAAACAAATAAATAAAGTTAAATAAGATGAAATTTTTTTAAAAATTGAGCATGCATTTTTAATTTCAGTACAATGGATTTAAGACCAAGTATACACATTCCATACATGAGGGCTAGATCACAAAGTGTCTTAGTCATCATCCTCGTTGTCACCGTCTTCACGCTTTCTTTTCAGTACACTTGATTCATTAGTAGTATTTTGAGGGACCAGCAGTTG